GGGGGGGGGGGGGGGGGGGGGGGGGGGGGGGTGGGGGGGGATGATGACGACAGTGTTACGCAAACACAACCAACAATATCACCACAAGAGCCGTTTTACTCGGTATTTACAGTACTTTCGTGATGTCGTACTTTCTTATATAGTTGCCACCCCTACTTCTGGACTGTGCGTCTTAAACTTTGGTGTCTCGAAAGGGTTGCAGCGAAAACTCGAAATTGAGTGGGGGAAAGCTTTTCCTGTATTTACAGTACTGTTGGTGATGTTGGTGATGAAAGGTGATGAAATGTGTTTAATTTCGTGATGTTGGTGATGAAATGTGTTTGCTTTTTGGTGATGTTGGTGATGAAATGTGTTTGATTTTTCGTGGGCGCAATACCCCGCTTTGACTCGGTGTTCACAGTACTTTTGGTGATGAAAAGTGATGAAATGTGTTTGATTTTTCGTGATGGTGGTGATGAAATGTGTCTGCTTTTCGTGATGTTGGTGGTGATGATGTTGATGACAATGACGAAGTGTAGTTGGTATGGGGGTGGCTAGTAGTTGTTGTAGTTGTTGTGGTGGTAGTAGCAGTAACATTAGCAGCCGTGGGTGTAGGTCAGGTGTAGGTGTAGATGTAAGTGTAGGAGTAGGAGCAGGAGGGGTGGGAGTAGGCGAAGGGGTCGGCTCAGGGCAGGAGTAGGAGGAGGAGCAGGGGTAGGAGTAGGAGTGGGGGCAGTAGTAGTAATGGTGGTAGTAGTTGTCGTAGTAGCAGCAGCAGTAGTAGTCGCAGTTTTGGTGGCACTTGTAGTGAGGAACTCTACGCGAGCAGGTCAGAGTCGTCACAGCAGGATTGCAAGAGCCTGGCCGAAAATAAGTGAAGACAGACTGGATCTCGGACCATTGATGATCTGAACCCGAGCCTTAACACCCTGAACCTGAACTCTGAACTCCAAAGCTCGAAAACTGCAAGAGTCAAATCTTAGAACAAGCCTGAAAGCCCCCAACGACAAAACCTAAAGAAAACCTGAGCACCTGGCTGCTTCAATTGCCAGCACGAGCGTCTGCCCACCATCCATGAGCATGGATAGCTCCTGCAATTTCGGTATCCAGACTCGAGTTTAGTGCCTTCGGGTTTTCGGTTGAGGCTGAGGACCTTTAGGTCTTCGGGTTGAGGCCGCGAATATTCGGAATGGCATTTTGGCGTTTAGGGGAACGCACTCGACATATGGGAGGTCACGGAACTGATCGATAGAGGCCCAAGCAGTAGGACCCTTGTTGCTGTAACGTTGCTAGTGCTGCTGCTGATGTTGTTGCTGTTAACGTCACGTTTGGTGCTGTCATTGCTGTAGCTATTTCCAGGATTCCAGGATGCTTGTCATTGTTGTGCCCTCGAAAGTAAGGAACCTTGCGATTCTCATAACGACCCGAACATGATGGGACGTGGAAACTCCCTTCCCTGAGTCTCCTCGGATGCACACAGCGGGCCACCTGGTCAGTCTTCTACAAAGTTGTCGCCAGCAATGACAGAGTCTGGTACGTGGTCAAGGTCTGTATTGGCCATTGGCCTGCAAAGAAACGATCTGCTGCGTCGCGGCCTTAGGCAGCTGGCCGGCAGCACAGGTTCCATCAAACGGGTTCATGAAACATGAAAGCCAGCTTCGGGCGCCAACCGAAAGGCCCAGCCCATATCTCACCATTGGATCCTTGCCACCAGAACGGCTAAGGCCCTGCCTAGCAGAAAAGAAACGCAAGTCCTGCAGTAAGCAGAAAAGGCGAGGTCGGTCGCTGGTGACCCGCCGCAGACAGGGTCATGGCTGCAAAGCCTCGGAGGATTCTCAGGACAAGCACTGAAGATGAACTGTAATGGCTCTAACCATACTGGAGTCGACCTCAGTCGATCGCCGGGCTCCGTCTTTGAAGAGCAGTTCGGGTGCAAAAGAAGTGTCATGTTGGCACCTACAGGCAATGCAGCGACAGCCAAGCTATTGGACCTTGCCCGCAGACACAGCATGAAAAACCCTAAACCCTAAACCCTGGAAGCTGGAAGTTGTGACGGTCCCCTCTGCAGTCTGCACCCTCCGAGCCTCCTCCCAGCTCAAAGGGCTGGGAGGCAAGGAAAGCGCTGGGGGATTGCAACGCCTGGAAGGCAACCCGAAGAAGCTGTCCGCTCGTCACAATGTCACATAGCTGCTCAAGCTCTGCGACTGCCTGCAAAAAGTTGGGTATGTGCCATTCGTGCCGCTCTGTGACCCAAAACCTTGGCTTCCAGCAGGAATCTGCACAGGTCTTGGTTCTTTCAAGCGCACTTGAAGCTCAACCTATGCTCCCCTTGTACAGCAACCCCCGAGGCCGGCACGCTTCGAACTCCATGTCTCGCAGCAGGAACTGGCGAAGCACCTTTTCTTGCAGGCTTCTGGGCGTGTTCCGAGATCAGATCGTTCCCGCGAACACTTCAGAACTGCCTTCAACCCTGAACGCTTTAAAAGCTGACCTGAACTGCGGAACTTCTCGAGTCGCGCCTTCGACACCGGCCAGGCCGAAAAGGCCCGCGTGCAGCTTCGGAGCGCCATCCGCCTGGCGCGGTTCAGGTTCGTGCTGGGTTTATGTGGTTTCGTTTTGTTCAGGTTTAACGTTTTTCGTGTAGCACGAGAAGTGAGAAGAACAGAAGAAGGGCCAGCTGGCCTCAGACTACCATCGCGGAGACTCCTTTCAAGAAGCTCTGCGTGCGCCGGCGAGGCGCAGGAGTCGAAGGAGATTTGGACTGCAACCTGGTGGAAAGCAGCTCTTGACACTTGACCTCTTTGGAGGCACTCTCAGCGGGCAGAACCCGGTCCGAGGCACTATGTTTCCCTTGTGCCAGTTGTGCCGAACTCGCATGAAGAAAGCTTCTTCTGGCAGGCCCAACAAGTGTTCCAGCAAGGTCGTGAGGTCCGACATGAAGCCTTCCTGGAGCCATCACAGCTTACAGCGTCAGACTCCAAACCAGGGACATGTTACATGGTGGCCTGCCAGTCAGGCACCATCAAAGCCGCATTTTCCTTTGCTGGCTCGATTGCACTGAGTCGCGATGATCTTGGCTTCGTGTGCGACCGAGTTTCTGCACGGCCAAGGAAACGACATCGCAAACTCGGGCGTGGAGTGGATGGAGAAGGCTGGAGCGGAGCAGATCCTGCAGGCTCCGGAGTCAGGGTCCGCGGGGCCGCGAAATGCGGCATGCACAAGCTGAGTGCAGATGGTGACTTCTGATTGGAGAAGTCAAGAAAGAGCCTGCATCCTTAAACAACATGCACGCCTGAAACGCCTGGGTCAAGGCGAGAGCTGCTGCGATCTGCTTCGCGAGAGCATGGACCTGTTCGAGTCGGTGAGGCCAGCAGCGGACACAAGACACTGGCGAGCTGATGACAGAAGACTACCTTTGGTTAGTAGGGAATGGAGGAATGGGGTACAATTATAACTACTATTACTACCATTCTTCCATTCCCTACTAACCAAAGGTAAGAAGAACGAGCAGGTGAGCCCAGGACCACTGCAGGTCTTCCTTCCATCCATCGGCTCCTGCAGGTCCTAGCAAGCTGGATAGTATGCTCGGCGACATCGTCTAGGACTGTCCTTGAATCGTTCATGCTGCTAGATCTTTCCTTTCATGCCTTGGGATAGCCTTGAACTTCCTGAAGCTGTCCTTCTTCTGTTTCGCCGTCTGCGCTCGCCGCCATGCATTCATCTTGGCACGCTGCGCAGCTATCCAATCCTCAGATGATGCAAGGCTTCAAAACGCGGCCTGGCTTCCAGTAATGCTGAATCACAGAGCAGTGAAGCCACCATGATGTGAACATGTTCCCAGATCATACCCGTGACACTCTAAGACTGCTAGTAGGCTTCAACCACTCTGACGCACCAGTAAGTGCAAGACCACCTGCACCGCTACCACCACTATCTCAACTCTAATCGTCATCCAGCCAGATAGGAGGAAGATCTCAACCATGCTTCGATGCGCCGTTGCCTTGCGGGAGGCATAGCGCTGCGAGGCCGTATCCTCTTGTCGAGGGGGACAGGCACATGTCTGGATCCAAGCTTGTGGGATCTTGAGGGATCCAGGGTGAAATCCTTGAAGAAACAAACTCGCCCCTGCCCACCAAGACATTCTTTGCAACATCAACATGAAACAACTCTACAACAAACGGGCATGCACATGGATATACTACATACGCTTCCTGCTTATCAGGCAGACGTTAAAGCGGTGCAGCGCTGCAGCAGCCTACTCCGTAGGAAAGCGTTCGAACACCTGCGGAGAGGCGGAAAAGCAGAGAGCGTCGGCCTCGCACGTGAAACAGGAAGTGTCGGAAGGGTACATGTTTTGCTGAGTTGTGGCCTGTAGTCCAGAACACAAAGGCTAGCACGACACACTCGGAAGTTCTCATAACATCGCCATGCTGCACCAATGAATCAGCGAGACAGAGAGGAGACACTAGAGAAATGGACAGACGGACGAACGGACGGACGGAGACGGGTAAAACCACAGAAAGATTCGCATTGAGAGGCAAGTACACCGACAGAAACTTCCAAGCAAAGGAAAGAAGACCCACATCGAGACGCAAACCGATGTGCAAAAGAGCTCGGCGACGGGAGTCACAGCCAATAAATCTGTCTGTGTCGATGCTGTCGGGTTCAGACGGACACACGACGGTCAGAACGAACAAACAATCAATTGGGTACAATAGGCGGAGTTGGGCTTCAAGGACCCTAGACCCTAGACCCTAAACCCTAAACTGCTCCTGCAAGGAGGTCGAGGTGCCGGTTCGCGGGGCTCCCGCAATGTCTGTCGGAAGAGCCGATCCTCTCAAAGGAGCGATAGGTCGAGCATGAGCCTACAGTTCCCGACACTTCCCAAGACAATTCCGGAGACAAGTACGCAGTCCTGAGGACCCCGGCTCTTCATCCTGAGTGTGTCTTGCTCCATCGCTGTCTTGCAGAGCCTCTCCTGCATGGACCCCACGGACCCCGACTCACGGGAGCGCAGAAATAGGCCCAAGAAGATCGGCTGTGGAAGCTCCCGTAACGATGACTGCCACGCCTGAAAGTGCAACCCGGCGTCCTGCTCTGTGCTCTGAGTCATAGCTTGATACAGCCGTGAATTGAGCTCCTGACACAGAAAGGTGGCTGATGGAAGCAAACGGAAAAAGAAGAGAGTAGACAGCCGGATCAGCACTAACTAACGAGTTGGGACAACTCCACAAAACCAAAAACACCTATCAAAGGAGACTTCACGATGTTGTAGTGCATGTGCCAGCAGGCGGTCCCTTCGCTCATCGAGGAGCATCTGCCAAGCGTAAAAGGGATCCATGGCAGGGTGCAGTCGACAGTAGCCGGGGCTTGTCAAACAGTTCGCACGACGGCTGCTGCTATTCGTATAGAGTCTTTCTGACATCAATGTCGGATCGGGATGAGATGGGTGGCATTGCTTCATCATCTGCGGTTGTGAGATGATCTGATATACCTGTGACTGCGGCAGGTAGTGAACTTGTAGGCTAAGCATCCCGCAGGAATAGCTCGTGGGCCCCGACACAAAGCACCCACAACGAGCAGAACGCACCTCAAAAAGCCAGAAAACATCGAAAGCACAAACACCCTCAACACCCCAAGATCCCGGAGAAACCATGAAAGTAGATTCGGGTGCCGGGCCCCGGCCAAGCAAACGCCGGCGTCAAAGGCCCACCCCGAGTCCCGCAGCGAGGCGGCCAAAGGTAAGGACTCCTGGGTCGCTTCCATCAAAGTATCGGGAAGCTCAAAACAAAATATATAGTGTATAATATGTATATATCTATATATAGTATATAATGTTGCTATATTGTATATACTAGATATATATATATACTAAGAAGCAAACGACCATTGGGTCTGAAACTGAAACCATGGGAAGGACCATGACGTCATGCACATGCATACACACATCACATTTCTGTTCGGGCATTTGCCAACAAGCGGTACCATGTTGGCAATAGTTGACTCTTGAGCGGCGGTGCCGATGATGGCACATAAGCCTGCCCTGACCATAGCAGATGAGTCCGCATCACCACGATGCACACGAGTCAAAAACACTGTCGCACAACCTCAAGGGACCGCTTACGCGGCTTGCACAAAGGAGTCTCACAAGAGAGCAACAACAGTTGCCGTAGCGTGAATCATTCTTACCATCCACTTCAGATTAGCACGGCCCCACTCCAGCTCCTCATACTGCCGCAGATCACGGCATGTAGGCCTGCCCTAACCAGAGCAGATGAGTGTGAATCATAACAAAGGGCATGAGCCAATGACGATGGTGCACAACCTCAACGTACCGCTTACGCGGCTTACGCAAAAGAGAATAACAGCAGACACCAGTTGCCGCAGCGTGAATCATGCTGCCTGCCCGCAGGGCCCCACTCCAGTTCCTCTGTGCTGCCACAGATCACGGCACGTAGACCTGCCCTGACCAGAGCAAATCTGTTGGCATCTTCAAGATAGGCACGACCCCGAGACAATGGTACACAAAATCAACATGGCGCTTACGCAAAAGAGAGCAATAGCGGGCGACAGTTCCGGCGCACGAAGCATTCTCACTGCCCACTTCAGATTAGCACGGCCCCACTCCAGCTCCTCATACTGCAGCAGATCACGGCATGTAGGCCTGCCCTAACCAGAGCAGATGAGTGTGAATCATCACAATGGGCATGAGCCAAAGACGATGGTGCACAACCTCAACGTACCGCTTACGCGGCTTACGCAAAAGAGAATAACAGCAGACACCAGTTGCCGCGGCGTGAATCATGCTGCCTGCCCGCAGGGCCCCACTCCAGTTCCTCTGTGCTGCCACAGATCACGGCACGTAGACCTGCCCTGACCAGAGCAAATCTGTTGGCTTCTTCAAGATAGGCACGACCCCGAGACAATGGCACACCAAATCAACACGGCGCTTACACAAAAGAGAGCAACAGCGGGCGACAGTTCCGGCGCGCGAAGCATTCTCACTGCCCACTTCAGATTAGCACGGCCCCACTCGAGCTCCTCATACTGCCGCAGATCACGGCATGTAGGCCTGCCCTAACCAGAGCAGCTGAGTGTGAATCATCACAATGGGCATGACCTCAACACGGCGCTCACGAAAAGAGGGCAACAGCGGGCAACATTTTCCGGTGCGCGAAACATGCTTCCTGCCCACTTTAAAGATGAACCAGGCGTCCCAACTTGGTATGCCAAACGGCAGAATCACACAGGTTTTGATGCACGAATCAGCCAAGAGTAAGGGTCTCCGGGTTCTTGAAAGCTGCACAGCACAGGTTTGCAACGGCATTCGTGGTGCACCGGCGGCTTGCGCGCCTCCATGGGCAAATCCGGGTGGAGCCCCCAGAGCTCGCTTAAGAGCTTCTCGGCAGTGGCGAGTCTGAGAAGGTGCGCTGCTGGGATATTTCGAGCTCGCGGCTCTCAAAGCAGAAACTGGCCTGCCACCCCAAGCGGCGCCGCAGGCGGTCTTCGCGCTTGGAGACTCCAAAGCCTCGCCAAGCACCAAGCATGTGGGATCCATTCTGCCGCAGAACCCAGACATCAAGTGATGCCTGGGACAAGGCATCCAAGGTCTTCGGGCCACCATTGATTTCCTGTCCAAGGCCACTGAATTCGTCAGCTTGTGCCTCTGTTCCATGTAGCTCCTCCAAGACCTTCTGAGCAGCAGCAACACTTCGTGCCTTCCCAGACCAGGAAAATAACAGAGGCGTCAACCGAAGAGCCTGGCCTCCTCGACCGGCCACAGGCTCAGATCACAGGCGCAGATTCCGCCTCAGGGGAGCTCTCCCTTGCGAAGCCGATGCACGGGGCTCAACAGGGCCTAGTGCACCAGCCTCGGCCGGGCGTTGGATGAGATGTCTGAGATGTCAACCATGTCCAAGACCAAGAAAATAGAGTTTCAGCTCAGAAAGGAGCAGGCCCCTGCCTGCTGGGCGGCATCGTGGCCTTTCCTGGAGGCCGCAGCCAGCAGCTCTGTCCTCGAAAGACCAGGAGATGCCGCCTTGCCGGCCTTGCCTTTTCAGAAACCCGGGTCCCCAGCAGAGGCCATGGCATCCGGGCCAAGGTCTCCAGGGCCGGTGCTTCCTGGCGAATCACCACTTCCTTCGCTCGATCTCGCGACCTCTCGCGCACAGGGGCGCGCGCGTGCGCCCTTCGCGCGCGCCTCCAAGGTGAGGCCTGCGAGCAGGGCAGACTCCGCCTGCGTCGATCATCTGCGAGGAGTCCATACGGGGCTTGATGCTACGAGGAATTCGGATCACCTGCTGTGTTGGGAGACTTGGACAGGGCTTGGCACTAAGCGAGGCGTCGGCTCCCACTTCTTCCGGGATAATATAACCTCGCTCTTTCGGATATCAGTGTTTCGGCCTCTCTGACTGTATGGAAAGAGCGCGGCAAGCAAAAGACACAAGACAATGCAGGACATGGTTCCATGCAAAATGTGCCCGACCCAACACAACCTTCAACACAACCTTCCTCAAACCCTTCCTGTGCCTCTTGCCACATCACCTCGAGTCCTTCTCTGCCTAGCAGACACTTCCAACTCCAGGAGCAGACTGAAACGTGCTCAGAGCGTTTCGTCCTGCGCTCCGAAGGGCCGCTCCACAAAGCCGCTCGGCTCCCGCGCAGCCACCATCCTGGGAGGATCGAAGCAAACTCAGTGCTCTGTTCTTCATACTGTGATACTGTGAGCTCTCGTGTGGCTCGTGGAAACAGAGGTTATGCTGCGACGCCGCATCTAAGCAGGGCAGCGAAGGCTATTGCCTCTGCCTTGGTGCCTCTTCCTCCAGGTTTCACAGAGATGGGCCAAAGCTCCGGCCCATCTCTCATAGCGCACTGGAGGAAACATCCACTTCTGATTCTGCGAGTCCATGCAGCAGTAGTTGCATAAGCATGTGTTAACCTCCAAGTCCATCGCCGGCACTGTCAGCCCTCTCATCGCGAGAGCCTCAGCATAGCGTCAAAGCTCGAAGAAACCGCCTCCGTAAAGCAGAGTATCTTCCATCCCAGCTGCAGCCAGCGCCGCTGCGGCGGCCAGTAAGGGAGCACCTTGAACCCGGGCTGCGGACGTTGGCTTGGAAGGGTTGAGGGAAGCACGCAAACATGATCCGCCTGGGCCAGCAGTGCCCATGTCCAGACCTCCGGCACTACTTCATGGGGTTTAGGGTTTAAGGGTTTAGGGTTTAGGGGTTTAGGGTCTAGGGTTTAGAATTCATGTTAAATCCGGAAGGGTGCAACACCCCTGCAGGCCTTCTCTGCAGAGCTGGGAGAAGGCCGGCGCAGGCAGCAAGAAATGACTTGAACCTTCATCTCAAGAGCAGCTCAGCATGTAATCTGATCATGGCTTGGCCGCTCGCCGCTCACATGTTGCCTGGCTGATCACAAAGGTCCAGAACCAGAGTCCCTTCAGAAACGGCCAGGCACCTCGGATCCAAAAACAAGAGCATCGCATGCCGAGTCTTTCCTCTGCCTCAGGACACATGAAACCTCGGAACAAAATCATCCAACATCTTCGAGGCACCAGCTTGGGTTCTTTGCCCATCGGACCTGCCCGCTTCGGCCGGGTATTACGAACCTCCGGGAAGAAGAATCCACTGGAAGGACTGCTTCAGCAGATAACAAAAAAATCAGCACGCATGGCGGCTTCTGCACTGCAGCATCCGGAAGTGAGATGTCGGAAACGTGTTGAACGCCTTTGATTTGGGTGGACCCCCGTCGGCGTCGAGGCCTGAGACATCTTGGAGGACCATGCTACCAGAACAGGTGATGCTCGTTGAGGGTCCCGCACATGCATCGAGTTGAATTGGGGTTCCCCGCACAACTTCACCTCGAGTGCTTCAACCCCCTTTTTTTCTGCACTCTCTCGCCTCGGCCTCGGCCTCGGCCTCGAATGTCGAGGCACTTTGTCGGGTGTTCTGCCAGCCTGGCATGAGGAGCTTGCTATGGTCTCCTCGCTCACTGCTAGCAGGAGCCTGATCTCTCCTTTGTCCTCAGGCACGAGGAAGCGCTGAGCTTTGGCGCCGCCTGAAGGACCCGCAAGAGGAATCTGGGGACGGGGCTGGATCCAACTCAGGGTGCGACGATCTGGTAAGCAGTCCGAAACATGGATTGGACTCCTCCAGCTTGGAGGTATCAATAGGTAGCTGGGTGCCAAGATGAAAGCACGAATGAAGCTGTTGGCTGTCCCGCTTGGAACATCTTCAGACCTCGCATCCGAGTTTTGATTAGTTTTGCCTTCGAACGAAAGAGGATTCTCAGTTCCGTCTGAGGAATTAGCAGGATGCCTCCGACGCCTAGACACCGGCTGGTGTCCGAGGCGAGTTGGATGGTCAGGGAACCCAAAGCGCCTTGGGTCTGACTACGAAAAACAATTAATCTTTCCCAGGTGCCATGCATTAGCTGCTCGCGTCCACTCTTTCTTTCACTCTCTTTCTGTCTGTACGCTGGGCCTAAATGTCGACGAGCGACCCTCTGACCATTGGCCTTTCTCTTTCATTGGGGAAATTTTTTGACTGAAAACTCAGCAGAGCTGTTCCGCCTAGGTAATCATGATCTACGACACACCTAGCCAAGCGATGCCAGAACTTTCACGCCCATGCAGCCGAATGACCAATTTGCAAGATCTAAACTGCGAGCCCTTCAACGGTTCGACAATCCAACACATGCGAGGGATCAACACCGAGGCCAACCCAATCCATGGTGGGAGCGCGGCGAGCCCCCGACCCCGTCGGCTCCCGTGGACTTTTAGCCCACAAAGGGCGCATCGCGAGAAACTAGCTCCAGGAAAATGCTGCCAGCTATGCTGAGGATGGACCCAGGGTGGACTCGAGCCACCATACTTTGCTGTGGATCATCGCAAAGCGATCAAAAGCGGTAGCGGCTCTGGCTGCAATGGGGTTCTATCGTCCTGTTCCCTCCAATCAGATACGTGATGAATGCCACGTAGCCGCTGACGGCTTTCGTGTTGAAGCATCCAGAAAAATACTCGTGACAGCAGTCAGCACCTACATGTAACACCAGGCTTCCGGAAAGGCTTCAACTGCAGGATGCTTCACGGTGCTTTTGGGGCGATGTCCCCCGTAGCTGGGACTGCGGGCATTCCCATGGGCAAGCGAGGCATCAGAGATCCCATTGGCAAAGGAACGAAGTGTGACAATCAGGGGTTTGTAATGCTGCAAGCTTCAAGCGATCACTCCTTCGCAAACATGGGACTTCAAGTTCTTAGAAGACATGGACGAAGGCATGAGCCCAAACATTACCCTCAAAGCCCGAAGTAAACTGTCAACTTTGGAGGGGTTGCCCCCCTTGCATAAACATACATGGTTCTAGGCTGGCTGAGGCGGGTTTTTAACGAAGGAAGCAACAAAAACACACACCACGGACCGCAGCAATGCAAGTAACGAAGGCGCTGTCTGTCTGGAACTCTTCCTTTCAGCAGGCCCACCCTTGGGGCCAAACTCTGGAACCTCATTCAGAAACCCGCAGTTATACATTTTCGTGCTTACTCCTGTGGTTTTCAGCTTCTGATGCAAGTTTTCGGAGCTCATGTCATTCGGTTGTTCCTGTTGGTTTCACTCCTCGTGGTTTTCGGCTTCCAGTGTAAGTTTTCGAGTTGGCTTTTGTGCTCTTAGGGCTTTCGGCTTCAGGTCTCATAGTATGTTGGGCTCACTCCGTGCAGGTCTTCGCCTCCCCAGTTATGGCTTTCGGCTTCTGGCGCAGGTTTTAGAGTTGGGCTCCGCCCTTAGGAATTTTCGGCTTCTGTTGCAAGGGCTTCAATTCACTCCGTGGTTCCCTCTTTCTGGAGTTCGGCCGGCTCCACTCCGTCTGGTTCTCGTCTCCTTGGGGCTTTTGGCTTCGGTTTACGTTTCGAGTTGGGTGCACTCCTCAGCTTGCGGCCGCTGGGCTTCTAGTTTGGGTTTGCGGGGGTGTCGCGACTAGTCGGCTTCTGATGCAAGGTTCCTTCGACTTTCCTGCCGGGCTTTCCTTTGACAGTGTAAGTTTTCGACTTCTAATGCAAAGTCCGGGTTTAGCACTCCTTCGCTTTCGTCTCCTTCGGGCTTTCGGCTTCCGATGTAAGTTCGTTATTATTACTAAGATTGCTCATATTATTAATATTACGAATATTACAAAAATAATTAATATTACTACTTTTACTATTATTGCTATTATTACCATTATTACTATTATTGCTCTTATTGCTATTATTACAATTATCACGAGTAGTACTATTATTACTACTACTATAATTACTAGTATTACTATTATTACTACTATTATTACTATTATTACTGTTATTACTACTATTGCTATTATTACTATTATTACTATTAATAATATTATTACTATTAATACTATTATTACTATTATTACTAGTATTACTATTATTACTACGATTACTATTATTACTATTATTATTATTACTATTATTACTATTATTACTATTATTACTACTATTACTCTTATTACTATTATTACTATTATTGCTATTATTACTCTTATTACTACTATTACTTTTGTTACTATTATTACTATTATTACTGTCATTACTATTATTACATTTACTAATATCATTACAATTATTGTTGCGATTATTGTTGTTATGATTTGGTGTTGTCAGATCATCGGATGCGACGATTGGCATCACCACATGCTTGTTCGACCCCTGGGATGTTGTCACATGAACATCGTGACGGATGAGCCTAAACAGAGCAGGGGAGCATAGGTGAAGCCGGGTTTGGGGGCAGAAGGGAGGCCCCAACCAGAGCAATTATTGTTATGATTATCAGTACCAGTATTATTATTATTGCTGCTACTTTTGCTATTGTTGTTACTATTACTTTCCAGGAACCGTTGTCAAGTCCTGCTTGGATTACAAATGTATATACCTGCTTGTTTATTTGTTTCAATGTCCCTTGATCTGTGTCTGTTTAATATGAACAGTTCGATTTATACAGACCTAGAAAAACCTGTCGGGGTATACCGGACATGAACATCAGCTGGCAGAAGCCTCCGCAACACATGCAACGAGGTGGCTAAGTCCAGGGCCCTGCCCACATAGTGCAAGATCGAATGGAGGTCGATATGGGCAAGACCTTCCCAAGCGGGCCATGGAGTCCACTGCTCGTTTCCCTGCAGTGTCCGCTGTGCTCCCAAAGGTTACAAGCTGGGTTCTCTGCGGCCACTCTGCGAAGCCTTTGCAAGCCTTTTGTGCTCCGCTGGAAACACCGACGTGCGAGCAAAACGAATCTCCTCTTCTCGGGGCCTCGTAGTGGGAGCTGCGACTCATAATCTCCTTGAAACTGAAGAGCTGAAGGAGATTTCAGCGCATAGTTCTGAGCATGGCACCACCGCTGCCCGAAGCAGCACCACTTCCTCCCAAATACAGCATCACACGCCCGAGTGCAGACTACGCCTGAGTGACACGAAGAGCATTATGCATCATCGCCGGCATTTTCTGAAGCCTGGGGCATGAGGTGCACAATGTCAAGTGAAACGTCGAGCGATCGATCGATTTGAACATCACAAGCCAATGAACTGCAGACGAGTCAGTCTATTGATGTTTACACTGCGGAAGGCACTCACTGGCACCTCTGACAATGCCCTGCCTGCTTGGCAGGCTTCTGGGCATTGCTCGGCAAAAGGCTACAGAGATGAGTCGGCAGCCTGGGCCACTACTGACACTACTGTGGTGGTTTAACCACCGCAGCCGTATTGCCACTGCAACCGATGCCGATGCAGTCAAATTGCTGAGAGCTGCCAGATGCTTAGAGGATCTCAATACATCACGAGGCCTTGCAGCAGTGGCGTGACCGCAAGAAGAATTAATCTTGAACTGCGAACCTCGGAAGTGATGTCTCTGAGTGATGTGACGAAACGGAAACGGAAGCTGTTGATCTATCATGGTGCGGCACGACTCACGACCACCTTAACCGCCAGATACCACCAGTACTTTGTTCACATTATCCGAGACAGGCCGCAAGCGCTGATGATTCAGAAAGAGGCTCTTGCGGCAGATCTTCTTGCCAGGCAAGCAAAACACACTAGCTATCACTAGCTCGTGTCCCTCTGTTGCGTCATGTTACATGTACAAGTCAATCGCGTGAATGGCAATTGGTTCCATCATTTCTCTGTCTCTTCCTCTCTTCTCGCTTCTGCTGCCTGGCGATACACACGAGCAAAGCCTGCATGGCACACGAGGCCAAACAAACTGAGCGACGGGAAGGAACCCCCTGGCTTGGAGCCAACTTCTTGTTAAGTTCAATGGGAATTACCTGATCAACTCAAGCCCCTTGTCGGGAACCTTCATCGCCACGGCTCAAGTAGCTGTGTGGTTTGGAACGGAATCCTGTTGAAAGCAGGTATTGTCTCTGATAAACGCCTCTTGGGACCAGCTTGTATCACTGAAAACAGGACCAAAAGTTAGCTATACTGTAGGTATTCTACAAATTCCACTATGCCACATGCATGGCTTCAAGAAGCGTTGCTTAAATCTGGTAATCTGGTATCTGGTACTGCTTTTTGCATACCAGAGCTTCCTTGTTCGCTGCACCCGGCTCACTGATCCTAAATCCGAATATTCATGGCAAAGATGTCAGGAAGTGGCCAGGGATGTGCATAAGGCCTGTCTTGGTGTCAATTGCCAAGGCAGTTTTGTTCGTGAGATCTCTGCTCGAATTCGCCTGGAGGAAACCGGAGGATGTCCAAGCGCAGGAAGTGGGAATTTGCTTTTCAGGTACTATAGGGGGTTAGGGGTTTAGGGTTTAGGGTTTTAATGATTACCTGTATTCCTTTGCTGAAGCTTCCGGACTGCGCGGGACATCCTCGAGTCTCCTCCGCAGCAGCTAGTGATCGCTGCCAGTGACGATGTGCTCAGCATCCTCTGCCGTTGCTCCACGCGCCGATAGCAAGTTGGCATGGAATGTCTCAATGAGCCTGTTCATCCCATCGAACCTGAGACATCCCAAGCCCTCTCATGGCCATCAGTCAAAGATATCCCGAAGCAGACACTGCTACACCGTTCACCCGAAACTGCTATATCCTGAAGCGATATGCGCGTAAAGGTACTCATGACCATCCCACTGATAATGCTGAAATGCACTGACATGATACTGCGTGGTAGCCAATGAGAGCGGAAGAAGACGGAGGAGAAGCGGGTAAGCATGGGATAATGCGAGCTCTGATAGCAACAGCCAACCTTTAAACTTTAAAGCAACAGCAAGACTAGGATACACAACTCTAGCAAAACCACCACAATTACTAGAACTGCTAGGAACTGAATGTAGATTTAGGCTGGTCATGACAGGAACCAGCAAGGAAGCTACTAGGATGGGCAACTGAAGACATTGACTGACACAGAAGGCAATTGATTATACCATTATACGATGCGGCAGCTCTTCTACGCCAAGGGACGCTTCCCCAATCTCATCTTCGAGCTGTTCAAGCGTCTTGATGGTGTCGTGCTCGTCCTGAACTAGACTCCCTCCCAACTGTGGTGCTGCAAAGAAAGAATCAAGCTGGATCTTGGCCCCTCATTGCGTCCTGCCTTTCAGGCATAGAGACCTTTGGCTTTCATCGCCGAGAGTGGCGGGATCATCTTCGGTACGAGTTTAACTTGAGACTACTTTGTACAAACGGATTTGTCATCTTGTGGTGGGCATCCTCACGTCAAGGTTTATGGCTGCCTGGTACTGCCACTAGTCCTTGCATCTTCGAAAAGCAAACACAGCTTCCATCGCAACAGCACTTGCTTGGCAGCTGTCTTGTAGATGCTTTTTGGCATTCCGTTCGAGGTCGTCCCTCAACTTACCTCAGCGCGACAATCGTCTCTGCAGCTGGTCAAGGTCGGCTTCTTGTTTGAAGCCGCTAATCCCAGTCGCCTCAAAGGCGAAAAAGGATCTGAAAAAAAAAAACATTGCGGCTTCGCACGGTGTCTCTTCCGCAAGAGGGAATTTTTTGCTCAACCTGAGTTGAACGATGAAACGAAAACGGAGCTCCGCAAAGCCATGCGCCGCCTTCAGGCCGGAAAACGCGCTAGGTGAATCAGCTTTTGATTTCATTCTCTTTTTTGCACAGCTCTGCTGCTTTTCGTGCGAGCTGATTTCTCTTGTCGGGTTAGTGCAGAAGCCTACGCAGTCTGGCACGACCGGTCGTGTGATTTCGCGTGCGACCAGTCAGTGATGTTTCACTGCTGCCCCACCAGATCCGAATATAACAGCAATGCATGGTTATGCTTGTGTGACGTGCAAGGCTCAAACGATGCAGAAATGGGCAAACCTACATGCAACTGGTCTGCGTTGCAGAACCCAGGATACCCAAACCCTGCTTCTTCTCGGCCTTCCAAAGGTCACACTGCGCCGCGATCACCTCGCGACTTCTCGCTTCCCCTCTGGCCAGCATGATGCCCTGGAGCCAGGGGCTGGAAAAGGAGCAGCAGCAACAGCAGCAGCAAGAGCAATAGCAGTAGTAGTGGCGGGTGCCGTGGCGATGGCGGTGGCTGTGGCGGTGGCAGTGGAGGTGGCAGTGGAGGTGGCAGCAGCAGCAGCAGCAAGAGTCAGCAGTAGCAGTGGTGGTAGCGGCAACGGTAGCGCTAGTGGTGGCAGTAGCAGTAGCAGTAACAGTATTAGTAGTATTAGTTGTAGTAGTAATAGTAGTAGTAGTAGTAGTAGTAGTAGTAGTAGTAGTAGTAGCAGTAGCAGCAGCAGTACTTAGTAGCAGTACTAGTAGTAGTAGTAGTAGTAGTAGTAGTAGCAGCAGCAGGAGCAATAGTAGTAGT